CAAAATACAGTTCCATAGCCAAAACTTTCACATTTGTGCCAATAATAGCCACATTTGGCGAAATACCACTTATAGCCACTTCCGTCCAATTCTTTGACGGTGTCATCTAACAGATTGAGTGAACTAACAGAAATGATGATGTGGCAACTAATAATACTTATGTGGAATTTCTTCAATATTAATTAATGTTAAATAAAATATAAAAATACTAATAAACCAACAAAAAAATCTCACGCTCCCTATCCCTAATCTCCGCTTCTTCTCCTCAAGCAACCCACCAACCGCTCACTCCTTCCGCCGGCCAACCTACATTCGCCGCCCCACCGCAGCTCGTCACCACCACCGCCACCGCCACCGTAGCTTACCTCGATTCCATCGATTCTTCGTCTCCTTCTGCTCTGCTCTAATCAACCTCCGCCTTCTCCACCTCCTTGCGGTAAGATCTATGATGGAATTTTGAAGAACCCGGAAGTCAGTTGAAACCGACGTTCCCGACTCCAATTCCACGCAACCCGGTTATGATTGTATTGATTCATGGCAAGGCTATACCTTGCTCGCCCGGTGAGGCTTCCCAAATGAGTGTCCTTCCGCAGAATCCCCCCTCACCTGCTGCGTTGCTGATTGTCTAGGACTTTAATCCCTAATTGAAATTGTAAAAGGTGATGTTGGCCAGAGAAGAAGACAAAGAAGAAGGAAGGAAGAAAACGACAGGAGAGGGGGGTGGGTTGGTCACTTCTATTAGCTATGCTTTCATATTCTGATTGAAGGAGAGGGAGAGACTAGAGAAAGCCTCTCTTTTCATTGGGAAACTGTTGCAGGGGGGATTTGCGGTGGAGGAGGAAGTAAGGATTTGCGGGATCTTTTCGGATCTGCTCCGTCGCCAGAATGGGAAGAGGAATTTGGGGAGTAGAGGATTCGTGGAGAGTGGAATTTGGGGGAAGAACCCTAATTCCGAAATAGGAATCGATTAGTATAGGAATCGGGGAGAGTGGAAAGTTGAGGATTCGGGGAGAAGAGTCGAAATTTGAAGTTTGGGAGAGGAACCCTAATTTTTGTATCGGGCAAAAATAGGGGCTGAAGGACTCGTTTCGATGGAAATGGAATATATGGTCAGAATTTTTTTTTTTAATAATGTAATATATAATTTTTTTTTAATAAATGAATATATGACGTGTCAAGATGACGTGTCAAGACTTGCTTAGTTGGCGCTGACATGTTCGAGTTCTTCTCGCCTAATCAGCAAACCGTCTGCTTATTTGACGGTGTTAGTAACGCCGTCAATGTTTCTAACGGAAAAGGCTATATTTGTCCAACAACATTTTCAAAAGGTGGCTATAAGTGGTATTTCGCCAAATGTGGCTATTATTGGCACAAACGTGAAAGTTTTGGCTATCGAACTGTATTTTGCCTTAATTTTATGTTTCCTGTTACATTTTTGTACACTGTCACTTTTGCCGTCACTGTCTCTGCGGGATTATATTTTAATCTATAATGTTACTGTCATTGCATTAACTAAGGAAATGACAAAAAGAAATGCAGATAAATACAAGTTGCAGAGTCGCAGACCTATCAATCTATCGAACAGATTCGGGGCATTTTTTTTAATAATAATATAAAGTATTTGTCTCTACTGTGACCCGGCGAATACGGGGACTTATGACAGATGGAATTATCTAGGTTGTATATACATTGTATCTGGTGTACTGATGATTTTTTTTAATACTTGGCTCTTTGACAATGATTTAGAAATCGTACCGTAGTAAGTACTATAAGCTTGCTTTCCTCTTATGATACAATTATCATTTATAATTGAAGATAAGGGGCCAAATCGGTGGCTGACATATGAACTTTAAATAAGAGTGTTCGTTTTCCAAAAATTAAATTAAAAAATAAAAAAAAATTACTAATTAACATCAAGTTATAACAAGAACTCACTGTGCATTTTTCATCTTCTTCGTTCTACCTTGGACTTCAATTTATTTTTACACATATGAAACATGTTCGTTGTTAATTATAATAATATATCAATTTTCAATGTATTTTGAGCAAAAAAATTTCATACTACTCGTTATCACCCTTAGTACCATCTTCACTTTTAACTCGACTTTTGAAAAATCTTATCCAGAAGGAACGAGTTCGTCGTAATCTATTAGATGTACAATTTTTTAGAAAAAATATTTTCAGGAAAACAAGTACCACCCTAGGGCATGGTGGTAACGGGTGGTTTGTGTTGATGAAAGATGGTAAATAATGGTGAATATATTTCTACTATCATGCATGAAATCATTCTAAACTCTTGGTTTTTTCAATCCATCATGATACACTTTCCATAGAAGGTGGTATAATCTTATGTATATACCAAGTAGTACTACATAGTATGGACTGATAATAAAGTTTCAATTTTTTTGCTAAATATATCAAAGTGGATGTAATTTTGAAGAGCATGCTTAATCTGATTTTTCTTTGCTATTTTTTTTAATTTCTAGTTAAGAACCATGACTTTTGGACATTTCAATCCAAAACTGGTTCTTGGATTTGGTTAAAATTGTTGAAAAGCAGAGATAAGATTGGCCAGCGGATGTCTATGGTGAATGGTGATGTTCTGTGGAATGGTAAGGTAATGAAGAAGTATAGTATTAAACTGGTATGGGAGTCTTTCCGACCGAAAGAAGCACCAGTTCTCTGGTGCTCCTTAATCTGGAAAGGTCCATCTCCCCCAAGGGATAAATTCCTTGCTTGGTTGGTAGTCAAGAATTATATCACAACCAGTGATAAGGTTGCAAACTAGGGAGACAGGGGCCCCTTTTCTTGTGCGGTCTGTTCTTGCTCTTTAGAGACAAGAGCTCACCTGTTTAGTGAATGTTGTGTGTTTAAGGAATTGTTTGTAGGGTTATTGGCTAAAGCTTTTCCTAGAACTCCAACTGATGATTGGGATGCTGAACTGCAGTGGGCTTCTGTTCAGTTCAAAGGAAAGCATGTGAGAAACCAGGTTGCTAGGGCAATTTGGAAGGCAATAGTTAGTACCATATGGCATGAAAGATGTCTGCTAAAGCATGGAGGTGCCAGGAAAAAACATCAAGAGATGATTGAACGAATTAAGCAAGATATTGCAGTGTTGTTCCCAGCTGAAAATTTGGCTAGTTTCTGGTCTTGTTAGCTTTGTCTCTTGGTTCTAATTTAGGTTTCTTTTGTTTTGCAAAAAGTGAGTTCAGTTAGAGTTTAGAACTCTGTTTGCAATACTTAGTTCGGCAGGGTTGTTGCCAACAGTTTTGACGCCTTTTTTGATGATATAAAGAGCAAACTAATTCATCACAAAAAAATAGATATATCTCGTTAAAATTTAACGGAGAGATAGTAAGTACCCTCCTATAAATGGTATTATGGTAAGTACATGGTTATGAATGATTGTGTACCCTTAAGTTATGAATGAGAACCACTCTCGTCCAAATCAGTGGAAGATCATCAATATTTTTATAAGAGTGTTCCTTTCCAACTATTAAATTAGAAAACTTAATTAGAAAATCAATAAGAAAATATCTTATTAGTACAAGTTACAATAAAAGCCACTGATTCGGGTCAAATTGTACACATTTTGTCCCTCATATCTTGATCGTTTGGCTTCGCATTTCATCGTACCTCGACGTATTTCATGCTAGGTTGTGCTTGTTTTGATACATTTCAGGTCCTATCACGCGGGGAAGGGTCAAGGACGAGTTTTGGGAAGATTGGAGGTTGAAAAGTGCAAAATGACCGAAGAAAGGTCCAAAGTCCATGAAAATTGCCCCATAACAGTGAGCTTTTGACCTAGGAGTGGGATAATCCCCTTAGAGCCCCTTCCTTGGCTTTTTGGGTCACTCCTATCGTATATTGTCTGGGTAGTCCCCGAGGGAGTTGATTCGACCGGTCTCCTAGCATTATAAGATACTCTGGGTTGAATTGAGCACTACCCATCCGCCGATTTGCCGTTCCGGGTCATTCCCGACTGAGTCATTCTCCAAACGGTAGAGTATTTGAGTTGATCGAACTAGGAGGATACTCAATATCGTCCAAAGGTCGGAAATAGGGGGATTTAATCCAAGAGAGCTCCAAACCTTGTAAATAGATAGGTTAGTGGTTAGTCTAGGTTAGTAAACTTAGGTTTATTAATCACTATCCTAGGATTGGCTAGATAACAACTCTAAACCTGAAGTAGGGTAAGCCTAGATCCCTGTGGTACGATAAATTCTTATTGCTTGCTTGCCCTATGCTGCACCCTGTCGGCGGTTATACTTGGTCGTCGATCGGGATGTTGTAGTTAGAACAAGTCAAGTTTTTGGCGCCGTTGCCGGGGAACCATTCTAGGTTATTTGAAAAAGGGTTAGGTCGTTACTTTAGCCATTTTGTTTTGTGTTTTGTGTTTGTTGACCCACTCTTCTCTTAGAAGGGTGGTTTGTGTTTGTTTGATTTTTTTTGTGTGTTTTTGTTTATGTAGATTGTTGAATCATGGATCCCAATGGCTTCTACAACATGTGGGGGTATCCACAACCACCCAAATGGGGGTGCCCCGGAGCTTCATGGAGTGAACAAGAATGGGGAAGCCAAAGATCCTGGTTCTATTACCAACCCCCCCTTCCAAGAAGAACAACCATACCATTGGGGATATGAAGAGGCTTCCCCATATCAAGAAGATTTCCCTCCACAACCCCAAGGAGAAATCCAAGTTGGAGTTGGCCACAGAAACCTTCATGGGACAATCATCAAGACCATGTACCACTCCACAAGATTGTTGGTAAAATGTACGTTGCATTTACAGACACAAAACTTGTACTACATACAATAATGTACACAATGATAAAAAGTAACAATTAGACATAAATTCAAATATTAAAAGAAATATTACATGTAACACCCCAACTATTTACCGTGTGCATCTAATACAATCATCCACATAATTCATTATTTGCATAACTATATCTTTATACTCTTATTATTATGATACCAAACAGCAATATCTAGATTTCTCACTTGTTCCTGCAGTTATTATAGTATGTCAGCAGTTGATATATAGAAACCCTTACAGCCCACAACGAAACGAAAGCGAGTAGAGCCAAGGCGGCTACAACATCTTCACATGATCTTATGCTCCTCGTTCCAATCGTATCGCACATCATAACAATGCCATTATGACCATGGCGGTCTTCTTTCTGACCCAGCATATGGTTCACTGTCCGCCGCATGTTCTCTGCTATCTTCTCCACCATTACAGCTTCGGAGCTGCATCCAATATTGGCATTCAAAAGGCTTAGTGAAGCAAAAGGCCATCGAAAACAGGAGGGAAACAAGGGAGTCGGAAATCTAAATGATTTGAAAATAATAAGTTGGTTCTAATAACTTATTGTTGGAAGATGTTCAATTATAAATTATATATCATTTATAAACATCGGGTTATAGGTATAATATGTCTCTCTACTATTTCGTTTTATCAAACATGTCTTTCTATTATTTTTTTTACATCAAACATGCCCATGTAGTTTGGAAAAATGGTCAAACATGTCATTTTGTTAAAATTTTCATTGGAAACCCGTCAACCGCGGTCAAACTTTGGTTTGGGCGATATAAATGTGTAAAATATCCCTAATAATTTTACTTTAGAGTTTTTTTTGGGTCTTTTGTATATATAGCAAAATACCTCTAATAAGTTCACTTTAACGAGACCTAAAAAAATAAATCAGGAGAAAAAATTGATATTTACCCTCTCATTTACCAGTGTTCGGTTGTCTTAATCTCGGTTCAACCATAGTTGACTTTTTTTTTCAATAGAAAGTTTAACAGAAGAGCATGTTTGATCATTTTGCCAAAGTAGAGATGCATGTTTGATGTAAAAAATAATGGGCTAATACCACTACAACACCCGAACTATCGCGAAAATGCCACTTGTGTCCTGTTGTTTCCAATATTCCATTTGTGTCCTGAACTATGATTCCGTTAGTGTTGACTTTCGTTGACTGTTAGTTTTTAACAGAAAATCTAGTCAACACTGATGTGGCATCTTACGTGGAATTTTAATTCATTTAATAAAAAAATAAAAATAAAAAACAATAAAATTAAACAATCTTTTTTTTCCAAATATAAAATTGAACAATCTTACTAAAACAGAATTATAAAACACCAACAATAAAAATAAAAAACTTCATCTCCCTCATTGCTCTCCCCCCGCCGGCCAGATCTGTAGCGCAACCATGGTGGAGCAGAAGAGGGGATGAGGTAGGTTCCGGGTTGCTTGCTTGTCGGCAGGGAAGCTGGAGGGTCGAGTTCCAGTCGCCAACCGCCTGCCTCTCAGTTTCCAGCCACAAGACAAGATCTCTTCTCTGCAAGCACCTCTCTCTTCCAAATCTGTAGCGACGCCGCATCTCAAAATTTTGAAATCTGGGAATACTAGCGGCGAAGGCTTGACAGTCGAAATCCCAGATTGACGAATCCGTTGTCTGCTCTCTGTCGATGACCTGTGGCTGTGTAGGGCGAACTCTTCGCTACCCACCACTAGAGGTCGATCCGGCGAACTCCACCACGGATCCGAAGCGATAGGGCGGTGACTTGATTGTTGGTTGCAGGGGAATGATGGATGGGTTTGAGTAGGCCAGAAATCTTTGCAGGTGGAGATGAAGCGAGGAAGGGAAGGAATAGGGGCGAAAGAGTGATTGATTTTTTTGCTGGTGGCGTGTTAGAGCTTTTGCTGGTGGCGTGTTTTCCTTTACTTTGTAATTTTCTATAGGAGAGTGGAGACCGGTGAATCTGAGAGGAATCGAAGGTCGCGGGGAAGGGAATCGAAGGTGGGGGGAGGGAAATCGAAGGTTGGGAGGGGAATCGAAGGTTGGGGAGGGAGAAGGTCAAGGGCGGCTGCCGATACGAAATCAATGGAGATTTTTTATATTTATTTTGGGGTTTTAGAATATTATTTAGTAATATTCTTGAATTTAAAGGTTTTTCAATTTTTTATTTTCAAAGTTTTATATAATATAAATTAAAAATGTGAGGTGTCAATGACTTGGCACTGTCACGTCAGCAAAAGTCAATGTTAAGTTGACCGCCGTTTGGTCAACTGTTATCTTTAACGGTCAACGAAATTGGCAGGATATAAATGACACAAAATAAAATAGTTCAGGATATGAATGGAATATTGAAAAGAATAGGATACAAGTGGCATTTTTGTCATAGTTCGGGTGTTGTAGTGGTATTAGCCCAAAAATAATAGATGGGGCATGTTTGATAAAACGACATAATAGATGAGCATATTATACCTATAACCTATAAACATACTATCTCAAACAAAAATGGGCTCATATGAGATTGAAGTTCGCACAGATCTGGATATCATGTACTTAATAAAAAATATGAGTCTCTAGATCACAGAAGCTAAGTCTCTGATATCATAGCAAGAACCAGTTAATTCCAACAATTTGATAAAAAATCACTTTACCCCAATAACTTAATTCCGTTGATTCCAGTGACAGGCTGACAGCAAGGCAGATGCAAAAGAAACTGCTAGTACGTACTGGTAAATTGAAACAAGAACAAACCACCCTCAAAGAATAATATAACACATAGTATGTTGGTAGTTCAAAACTTACGTGTGATCGGTCACAACCCAGCCGGAGATTTGGGAAATGGATCGGAGAGCGTGGATCCAGCCATTCACCTTCTCGTAGCTGTACCTCCTCTTGTGCCTATCAAAGTCGGCCTTGTAAACCCCAGACGACGACGGATCGGCGACGTCGTCGTCCGGGGACACTTTGTAGAAAACGGGGAAAACCCGGTGTCCGTTCTCCTTCCTGCAGTGCATGATCTTGACCAGCTCGTCGAGGCAGTACTCCGACGAGGCGTAACCTCTGGACAGCACGACGACGGACAGCATGGACCCCTCGATGGCGCGTGAGATGGCCTTGGTCACGTTTTCTCCCCGGGGGAGGTCGTGGTCGTCGCGGAAAACCATGATTCGTTTGCGTCGGAGGGCTGAGTCGAGGTGGTCGGTGAATGTGTGGCGGCCATCGGGTCCCCGGTGGCTGAGGAAGACATGGTGGCGCCACGGCGTAGGACGAGGGTCCGTAGCAGCGGCGGTGTGGACACTGCGGCGGAACCCGTTGGCAGGGCAGACGGCGACGAGAGCTAGGAGGAGGATGAGCACAAGTGAAACCATTGGGATTGTTGTGGTAATAATTAATCAGGATCTAGCTAACAATATTTTTGCTTTTATGCACATATAGATATAGTCAAATTGACAGTTAAGTGGTTACTTATTCATGCCGCTTTTACGAAGTGTCGTCAGCATTCCGGGGATTTGGAACATATTGTTTTGGCAAATACGGATGAATGATGATATATTAGCAGCCGCCAGCCATGTACGTCCAAATCCTTGGTTCTATTTTAAAATTTTTAAGTGTTTCGTTAGTTGACTAATTAAATTACTGCCGGCGGTTTGACAGTTAGTTCCGTTGTCTTTCATTCTTACCCATACTTATAGGGACAGGATACGGTGACAACCCCCCTGGGGGTTGTCAGATTCACAACCACCTTTGTGGCCATCGGATATGTTCTCTTTCCTGTCTTTTTCTTCTTTTTTTAAATTAATGGTTAAGATTAAACCAAGGGCAAATTCGGAATGGAAAACTTACCACATGAGATCCTTTCCATTTTCCATATAAATACTTTTTATTACAAAAAAAAAAAAAAAACAGACCCTCCCCCATTCTCCTGCGTCTCCCTCCTCTTCCCCTCTCACATATATCTAACAAAAAAACCCTAGCCGTCAAGAGCTCCACCACCGTCGCCGCCTCTGCCTCCCCTGCCGCCGCGCCGCTGTCCTTCCCTCGCGCCCCGCCCCGCCGCTGTCCTCCCCGCGCCGCTGTCCTCCCCTCCCTCTTCCTCTCCCGTGCCCACCGTTCACAGCCTGCTGTCCCCGCCATCATGATCGAGATCTACGCCGCCGCCTGGCTCCGCGACGTCCAGATCGGCTCCGTCCGCGTTCTCATCAGCAACGTCCAGATCGACGTCCAGATCGTCTCTACACCAAGCTCTCTGCCTCCAGCGTCGGCTTCAACGACCTCCTCGACGCCAAGGCCACCGCCGGGGGTGCGAAGAATCTCGATGAGAAGACCGCCAATGCTAGTGGTACCAATTCCTATTGGTACGATACCACTACTCACTGGTACGTACCAGTGGCTCCCCTACCACTACTCACTGGTACCACTATCATCTGGTACCACTATCATCTTATACCACTATTATCTGTTTTTTTGTGTTATTCTCTACTGGTACCGCTACCAATGCTAGTGGTAGCGCTACCAGTGCTAGTAGCGTTGTGTTATTCTCTACTGGTAGCGTTGTACTGGTAGCGTACCACTAGTATTGGTACATTTTTTACTGGTACCGCTAGTACTGGTACATTTTTTAACGTACTGGTAGCGTACCACTAGCACTGGTATAATAATTACCAGTAGACTAATAGATTGGTACACTTTTTAACGCATTGGTACATTTTTTCAGGTTGCCGGAGGGAGTCTGCCGGAGAGAATTCGCCGGAGAAAAAGTTTGTCAGTCGATGCGGAGTGGCTGCTGGAGAAAGGAAAAGAGAGAGAGAGAGATAGATAGAGATATTAATGTATAGGATTTAAATTTCAGAAAAAAATTGTATTTAATATGGGTATTAAATTCCCAATATAATTAATACAAAAAAGGTAATTAATATATTCATTTTTTTCATACCCAAAATATCCTTGGTTGTGAATCTGACAACCCCCAAGGGGGTTGTCACCGTATCCTGTCCCATACTTATATAGTTATATATACTCACATAAAAATTAGATAAAATTTTAATTTATGTCCATATTCTATATGTTTTTGGGTATCCACGGATAACAGATTTCCTTTACAACTTCAACCTAACACATTAACATTCACACGTATACTGACGTTATATATAGGAAAAAAGTACGATAACTGATTACTAGAATGAAGAAAATTAGTTATATAGAGCAAATTACTGGTTTATGATTGGTTCTTAATACCGGTTAATCAACAGTTATTCGATAAACCTTGAACCTCTCGTGATTCCGGATAGATGTCCGGTTCGGTTTTGATAACACTAAAGTATACACCATTATGAATATTTTTGTCATTCCTCCTTGAAGTCTAAAAGGAAGTGTTCTTTCTTTGAAATAAATTGATTAATAGAATAAAAATTTACATTTTATTTATTGAAAATAATAATGAAATTTTTTAAAGTGATATTTAAATAGTCAATCACTTTATGAAGTTATAAAATTATAGTCATTCTCCACTATAATCTTATAGGTATGATGTCACCGGAAACACGTAAGCACGAACCCCGTCCACATGTATACACATTTGCCTCATTAACGAGAGAAAAATAATGTAATAACATAATAAAATAAAACAGTCATACATTTAATTTTTAAATTAAAAAACCAACAAACCTTGTGTTTTTTTGGGACAGGTGATGGTTAGCATTACGTAATAACATAATAAAATAAAACAGTCAAACATTTTAATTTTTAAATTAAAAAAACCAACAAACCTTGTGTTTTTTGGGACAGGTGATGGTTAGCAATAATGCATAATCTTCCGCATCATAATTTATGGAAGGATTCTAACCAAGGTTGTCAAACCGGTTTATACCGTTGTGCCGGTTTGGCAAGTGGAATGGTACGAACGGTGGTATAACCAGTTTGTGCCGGTTCATGCCGGTCTAAAAAAATGCAAAAACAATTAATATCCAATGTATTTAATCATATATAAAACATATTTGTGGACAATTTAGTTACAATCCAACAAATATCATCAGCTTTTAACTATTACATTCATAAAATGAATAATAAATTATTATTTTTATTCATTAAATTCATTAAAATGATGTCATTTTACTTAGAATGCGTAAGTCGATCATACCGGTCATACCGGTGGTGTCATGCCGGTTTCATGACCGGCACAGGTTGAACCGGGTGGCATGCCACCGGCATGACAACCATGATTCTAACATTTTCTCCTCTAAATTTTAATAGACTATATTCTTTCATTTTTAGTTAGAATTTAAATTTTTGTATGAATAAATTGGATTATTTATGCTCTTTAAAATGAAATTCATTTTTATATATTTTTGAAATAAAGAAAACGAGACATTTAGTACCAGTTTATACCATGGTGACATTGTTTGGTACTGCATAAGAGCTTACCACGTAGTATGCAAATATATCATAGTGGTAGGGACAGGTTACGGTGATTACTATTTTATAGTAATCACCGTGGTTACTAAGGACAAATTGGGTATAACAACAAATTTATTAATGATCTTTTTTAATAAATTACATTTTAGGAAATTACATAAATATATAAAATACAATTTCTCTCTCTCTTACTCTCACTTCCACAATTTTTCAGCCAGATCTCTCTTCCTTCTTTTTCTCAATCTTTCCTTGATTTCGTTCATCCAAACTAATAGCGCTGCAACAACAAAACAATAAATCAATACTAATCCATTAAAAAAAATACTACCATTGTACAAAACATCAATACCATTCAAGAAATAAAAACACTACCATTTCACAAAACATCAATACCATTGCAGATTTAATCACTACCAATGCGACAAAATCAATACCAATGTAACAAAATCAATACCAATGCGACGAAATCAATACCAATGCGACAAAAATAATACCAATGCGACAAAAACAATACCAATACGACAATAACACTACCACTACGGGAAAAAATGACTACCGTTTAAAAAAAATCACTACGGAAAAAAATGACTACCATTTAAAAAAAACTATACCAATTAGTGATAGCAATGGGGCGGGGCGGGGCGGGTACCTCAATTCCCATGCCCCGCCCCACGCTACTACGGGTCGGGGCGGGTAAAACGGCGGGGCGGGTCGACTCACTCTTACATGTTGTTCAAAAAAAAAAGTTAATTTTACTTTTTACAATAAAACGTAGGGAAAACACTTTAAGAATGAAAAATATTGATAATTGAATGGATAATTGAGCCTAACAAGTTGAAAGATCGACTCTAACTAGTTGAAGAAAAGTCAAAATAGGAGAAATATGTATAGATATTGTCAGAAATTAAGATAAAATGAGTCTAAAACGGGGCAGGGCGGGGCAGGGCGGGTCGGAAGTAAATACCCATGCCCCGCCCCACGTTACTGTGGGTCGGGTAATACCCGCCTCATCGCGGGTCAGATCGAGTAATACCCGCGGGGCGGGTTGAAATTGCCATCACTAATACCAATGTACATCTCCACTGGGAAGTAAACAGTCATCGGCCAGAACCCCACCGACCCCAAAAGACCCACGATGTCGTTGAAGAACGGGAGAAGCATGGAGATCAGAGTTGTGGTAATGACGAAGATGGTCCTCCATCCGATGCCATCATAAACAAAAAAGAAAGAGTAGGCAAATTCGTAACACCAGGAAATGGGAACTGAAACACCCCACATCAAAAGAATTCACCTTCACATACCTTTGATCAGGGAGTGGTCCTCTTCGGAGAAGTTGGAGGAGCCGATGAGATCATCGGGCAGATTGAATTTTCCGTCGGCCATGGCAAGTGATCGATTGCCGTACCAAGCAAGCGGAAGTTCGGGCGATTCGAGATCGAAACCGGGGAGGATCGCCTTAGGGAGCTCGATGGATTTTGCAAAGGAAGCCCAGAGGAAGGAACAGAGAGGGCTCTCTAGGGTTCGAAGAAAATCGCAGAAAGCCGGAAGGGAGAGAGAGAAGGGGAAGGCGACTCGCCCGTGGCCGGAGAAAGAGGCGCGGAAGGAGTCGTCGGACAAGCAAACCCTAAGCCATCGTCGGGGAAAGTGAGAGCTTGCGGCTACGGCGGGTTTGGCTATAGAAGTAGGGTTAGGGTAGAATATATAGAATAATCAAGTGTGGTCCTTTTTTTTCTTCCAAAATTATCCTGGGGCAATCTTAACCGTAAGACTAAAAAAAGAGGAAAGAGAAGAAAATAAATGGTGGATACTGATGTAGCCACGGTGGCTCCTAGAAATTCAGTTTCCACCCTAACGCATTCCCATAGGGGTATGAACATACCAGACAACAAACAATAGAATGATTGAATACATAATAATAGAAATATAATAATTATTATTAACAACTTTCAACATTTTGTAGCACAAGATATCATTCCTATACTAGGGCGGTATGGAGTGGTTGTTCTTGCAAAGAAATAGCCAACTCTTCTATCGAGTTACAAAAGCATCACTAATAACGACATTGACGGAATTACATACCATATAAGTTCTTTGTCAGCTCCAATTCATATTCAAAGAGTTTATCAATGTAAAAAAAAAAAAAAATTGAACAATGAATTGAGATTTGAGAAGCAAAGGAAAAAAGAGGAAATTTTAGAGAGAACAATCATGCGCCAAGGATTGCTCTGGTCATGTAAATATCTAGGATTGTAAAATTGTATTAGAAATTGTATCGAAAAATTCTGCATTAGGATATTTATTTTGGAACCGTGATTTAATTGTGATTCAACCATTTTATATCGCCAACTACCGCCTATCAATTTAACATCTAATAGAAGATTATTCCGGTCGAACCACTACGATTATAGAATTTTGGAAAATACCTTAACGGGCGCGAATAACAAATAAAACATTGTTTTGTCATACTTTGTTCCTCGAAGTCAGCGGTTTACCGGTGAAACAAGAAGCACAATACGTCTATACCCTAAAAAAGGCAGCATCCGTCATATCTTTGTTTATTAGTACTGACGTTGCGCGGCACTACCGCCGCGTAATATAATATCGTCGGTTTAATAAAAGTTTGAGTGCATCACATAAAATACCCCAACTTATAATTTGCCCACACGTTATATTTTGTATAAATTATCATTTTTATTAATACGAGCGCTTTATATGGTTCCAATCAGCCAACATTTAATTTTGAAACATAAGTCAATCAATCATATTGTGCGGCACTTGAAATGTTATTCTATATTGTAGTTCTTATTCATAAAAAAATTGTAGTTCTTATTGCTTTTGCTGTCAAATTGCCTAGTATACCCTTTCATACATAGTTACCAGACATCCATGAAGAAGTGTATTACAATACTTGTATGCTTCTAGCAGGAATCTTATTAAAAATAGAATTATGGATTTCATTTATGGAGGATAGTATAGGATAGCTCGTAGGCGAGAAAATCACTCGTTTGACAGAGTATGAAACTAAGAGGTATTTACCTCCTATTCTAGTGTGTGCTTTCAGGATATCGAGTAACAAGAAGAAGGAAAAGGGTTGACTAGGCGAACTCCTGAACATTTGACAATCTCATATGCGTTATTATCAATGGTGGCTCTTTGTAGGGAAAAAGAAGACAATGTAAACACTTGCTCAAAATCTCACTTATCAGATTCCAACGTGGAAGATGCAATGTTTTTTAAGAATTCGCCATAATAGATCTAATTCATGCATAATATCATAAAAATGAAAAATATGACATGTGATATTTATATGGTAATTAGTTTCAAATAGCAGGTTTGACAAATATGATTTAAACTAACAAATAATTAGAGCAAGGTATATTATTTGAGAGTTGGTCCACCTTATAATTAATTGATCCTTGTTAGTGGTCAACAATAAGCTTATTGAAAAGTAGGGTTCCATAAAAAAACAATAAGATTGATAGAACTCGAATCAAGAACAACGTGTTCTTAATACGAAATTTGGATAAAACGGAACCAACCGACAATTCCGCACCTGGGGAAAGCTCGTATGGTATATAAGGGTAGTTGCTCGACCACGATTGAAGGGACTATTCAATCGATACACAAGCTCATCAAGTTTGGAATCCACCAAACCCAAAACAAGTTCGCAAACTTGAACAAACCAAACGATTTCTTTTCTATTAATCAAAGTCTCATGATTACATTGCATAAGACGAGTTTAAATAAACCTAGCTACGTCTAACAAACTAATAAGGAAGTCTAAACACAATGCAACTCAAAAAGGAATCAATATCTAACAATTAAATGAAATCCTAGTTGAATTAGGAAAACAAAATTTTGTTTCTCAAAGGCAGATTTTTGTGACTTCGTACAATCTTTGAGCCTTTTGTTCGAAGCCTTCTAGCTATCCATTCATTTGCCAATGCCTTCCCTTTGTAGAACCAAATACCTAATTTCATGTGGTAGAATCCGATCCATGCTCCATGAATTGAACTCCAAAGTAGGATTCACGATCACAGTTTTATACTTAGACAAATTCTGGCAGTTTTCCTGTTTTTCCATACACTTTTGAACAGCTTGCAAAATGGTTTTCTGGACATTTTCTTGAGCTACCAAGCATAACATCTTGCTGATAAGCTTCTTATCTTCAAAACAAGCTATCAGAATTGAATTTCCACCAAGCCAATTGAGAGAACCATGCCTCCAAAATAGGCATCTCGAAAATGTTCCAACACTTGGCCAAATTCTGCCTCTTTTCTTCCCTAGCTTGATAGCTTCTTTGGCAATCAATAAAAACATGTAGAGTTGGCCAATTTGGATCATATCATTTTCGTCTAGTGGTACGTTACAAGTGGTAGTGGTACGCTACCACTACCCCTAGTAGCGGTACCAGTGGTCCGCTACCAGTGAGTAGTGCCACGCTACCACTACCAACGGTAGCGTACCACTAGACAAAAATTAGTACCACTAGAGATTAACATAAAAAAAACACATATGGAATCTGCAAATTTCAGATATGGAGAAGAAAAAAATTCAGGGATGAGAAAAGGAGAAGGCAGGGGAGAGGTCGTTACGTCTACGGCGATGGCGGCAGTGGATGGGGGCGGTGACAAAGGATGACGGGAGAGAGATGGCAGCGACAGGGGGTGGAGGGAGGTGACAGGCTACGACAATGAGAGCGTGATGGTGCGGTAGTGGTGGGAGGCTAAGGGCGCGACGGCTGCGGTGCGAGTGCTCCGACGGTGGTGGGAGGCGGAGAGTGCGATAGCTGCGTCAGGAGGGAGAGATAAAGGCAGCGGCGACATGGAGAGACAGAGGTTGAGGAGGCGGCTAGGATTTTGGGGAAAGGGGATAGAGGACGTGTGTGAGGGGGGAGTGTTATTTTTTTAATGAAAATAGATTATATAGAAAATGAGAAAGGATCCTGTGTGGTAGTATTTTTTCATTCCAAAAATACCCTTCCTTTAATCCTAACCGTTGCACCGGACACGGTGGCAAAAACGGGTTAAAAATACACAGTGAGAGGATCTGCCCGGTCAGGTCAAACCCAGCAAAACCCAGTCAAACCCGGCAAAACCCGACAGTTCGACCGCCTAAAAGGTTGCCGGGTCAGGGGCAGACTCCAATGGCAATGGGTAATTATGTGGAAATTTAGAAGGTGAGAGGTAATTTACGCCAAACTTATATAAACAAATTGGAGAGCAGCCCCAAACCCGGATTTTTTCCATAATTATTGTGATTTAAAAAAATTTATCCGAAATGCAGTGGTTGAAAAAATAATTCTTAATCTATTATCTCTAAACCGGAATTCGGGCGCAATCGACCCAATTGGGTTCCCCAAAAGAGAAAAAGCCTAATATAGACGTCTGCGCCCCAATTTAACACGATAACTGCCAAAAGACGAATTGGGGAGGCAGAAAGCACAATTGGGGGCCGCGCTCCCCAATTGGGTTTGTTGCCGCTCCAATTAGTCTTTTTTCGCTCAGATAAATATATATAGCTTGTATCGTCTTTTTCCTCCATATTTACCCAATTAGGCCGCCGGGAAACTCCATCTAAAGCCTACTGGAAATCGCCCCATCCATTAACCCGTATGAAATCGCCTCCCCCCTATCGATTGCCCAAACCCGTCCGAAATCGACTTCTCCCCAACTCTCCTTGTTCATTCCGCCGACCATGGAAGGCGAAGAGATTGACAGTGGAGGAGGGCACCACTTCGACAATCCTAACCGAGGTGGCCGAAGGAGAGGCAGAGGTTTTCCCCAATTTAGACCTAGGCTTGTTTCCATTTGTTTTGCCTGTTGGGAAATTGCCCGTTGGTCTATTCTGGGACGTTGGGAAAATTACACGTTGAAAAGCAAATTGGGGCGTGCACGCCCTAATTGGGCTTATTATCGCCCCAATTGGGCTTATTGACGCCCTATTTATTTATTTTTGCTGTATACAGACGTGGGCGCTCGAATTAGGCTTTCTACTCAACAAAAATGTCCAATTGGGATGCGTGCTCCTCAATTCGCTTTTTTTTAAAACAAAAGATAATCATATTGATTGAAAAGATCACAAGTTACATCCTAGACCCAACCCAGGCACGAAAATCATACAATCGAAACGAGACCGGAGACAAAGACATGGCCTTTCTAGCCACATAATGGGCTACCCTATTGCTATTCTGACCTACGAACCGAACTTGGAACCCACTATTCAGATCTAGCAGACTCAGAATTTCCGAGATGATCACCCCAACACGACCATCTCGCGCGTCCTAAGCACCTTCGCATCACCCTCAAACCTAACTTGATGGATGCCAATTGCTGACACCACTGAACGCCTTCTCGGAGACCAAGTGTTTCTACCACGAGAGGATCCACAATGTTAGGAAAAATCACTCCCTTTGCCAACAACATATGCCCATCCTCTTCCTTCAAGATCATGCCCCCTGCTGAATGTGAGACAACATTCACCGCACCATCCCACATACAGATGACACTCCTCAAGTCTCCTTCTTCCAAAGATGGCTGCTGGGGCCCCCGATGCATATCCATTCTATCCTCTGGTAAGCTTACCCACTCATGGACCTGCTAATGATATTGCCGCAGTAGTTGCGGAAGTAAGAACTGCTTACCTTCAAAGGCAGCCCAGTTCCTCGACTTCCACATACGCCATAGTAAAGCCACCAAGGCCATAACTTGGGCCGGCTGGGTCATCCTGAGCAACCATTTCTTAAGGAAGTAAGGAAAAGTATGTCGTGGCAAATCATGGCCCAGATGCTCCAATCTAGAATGTGTCCAGAGGGATGTCACGATGGGACACTCCAAAAAAGGTGCTCCATCGTTTCAGACTCCGCCCAGCACACCGGACATTAGGGGTGGCTATACGGTCCGGTTAAATTGGACCAAATTGATCCGGTCCCAGTCCGGTCTTTTCGGGAATATAAGGACCAAAGATTGGATTGGATACACTCCGGTCTTGATCTGGTCCGGTCCCAATTTGATTTTGATTTTAGATTGAGCTTGTGGGGATTTGAGTGTTGTGGTCTCTTATCCGCTCTTTATCCGGGTTTTTTTACCTCAAATCTAAGCCCGAATATGAGATTGGATTATTTGCTATCCAGTCCCAGTCCGGTCCCGGTTCGGTTTCGGGTAAAACCAAACAGTTCTGAACCAAATTGCCAGCCCTACCGGACATCGAGGTAACACCTGAACCCGTTTCTTTATTAATGCCTCAGTCGTTGGCAATACGCGATAGAGGATTGCCTCAATTCCGCTTTAGAGACAGTAGATTGGAAAATATTTTTTCAACCACTACATTTCTGATAATTTTTTTAAAATCACAATAATTATGGAAAAAACCCCAACTCTAACATAGCAGCCGCCATTCTATTCCTCCTCCCCATTCTATCTCTGGACTCTGGAGAGCAACGACTAAGCAGGAAAAAAATGAACCCACTCTTCCTCTTTACAATACTGCTTCTCCCTTAAATGGCGAAGATGATGAAGAAATGATGCATTCGGTGAGCCCTCTCTACAAGTTACAAGCACGTTTGTTTTCTTTATTTGGTCCAGCACTCACCTTTCGTCCCCATCTGAGAAACTAGATCCAAGCTTTCCTCTTCGTCGGCCACACAAAATACACGACTCGAATAATCTAATCAACCAAAAAAGAATTGATCAAGGTGAGATTGAGGCTGCATACTTGTTTTCTTTCGATTTTGTTCGATTTAAGGTTGACTTCTGGCCTAATTTTCCTTTGGGTTTTTCTGGGTTTTGATTTTGGCTGCGAGATGGAGAGGAATTAGTAACATAACGGAGAAGAAAGACGAGGGAACCACCGCCGGCAAAAATATTCCATGACAACGGCGGTGGCAAAGAGGAACAGGGCTTTCCTAGTGTAAACTACTTGGATTTTTTCTAAACCGATACCGCCGATGTTTTTAGTTTTTTATTTATTTAGATGCGTTAGTGTCACTACCCTTTGTTTAGTGTCACTCAACGCAGTGGTAATTTTTTTGGATGATATTGAATCTGTTGGATGTTATTACTAATTATTAGTAATTAGGTATGAATAAAATTATGATTAATGATATGAGCTAGTTTATTAATAATTTCGGGCTAAATCGGGCTAATCCGATCCGTCCATTAACCCTTAACCCGCCAGTTCAACCGTGTCAATAGGCTAAACAGGGTTGACAACGTTAATCTTAACCATCAATTTGAAAAAAGAAGAAAAAGAGACATGAGAGAAAGCGTATCCAATGACTAAGAAGTTGGTGGTCAATCTCACAACCCCCAAAGGGGGGTTGCGACCGTATCTCATCCCGAAATTATATGTGGGTTATGGAATAAGATGTGTTAATTAGGGAAGACAAGTTAATTAAGCGAAATTAATGTAAACTTATAAATTTACCATAAAAAACTCCTATACTTAATATTCTACCGAAAATATATCAAAGAGAAAATCAATCTTACCTTAAAAAACTTCCTTTGATTTGCTTAATTATCAGATTTATCGATATTTTAAACAATATAACTTTTAATTACTGACGGCCCTTCTGCCGCCGGAGATCGCACCCCGTTCGATGCGGGAGATCGGACTAGGGCTGGCTATTTGGTCCGGGTTTTTTGGTTTTACCCAAAACCAGACGTATAATCCGGATCGAGACCGGACCGGGACTGGATAGTAAACTGGATAAAGACCGGATAAGAGAGCTCAACACCCAAAACTTAAGCGTAATTTGCATAAACGGTCACAATCCTTTGCTCATAGTACAAAACTTAACCAAATCCTTACCCTTTCAGGCCTTAGGCCACTCAATCCCCACAAGCTCAATATAAAATCAAGACCGAATTGGGACCGGACCGAATCAAAACCGAACCGGACCAAGACCAGAGTGTATCCAATCCAATCTTTGGTCCTTATATTTTCAAAAAGACTGGACTGGACCGGATCAATTTGGGCCAATTTAACCGAATCGGACCGTATAGCCACCCCTAGATCGGACCCTATCCGAGGAGCGGACAATGTCCGACGCCGGCAGGCGGAACCTCTTCGAACTCCGACGTCGGCCGAGGGTCTCCGTCCATCTCCTTCCGAAGTATTGCTCCCATGGCAATTCCCTTGCCGCAGTCGCCACACAAAAAAACGAGAAGATTGAGAGCCGAGAAGCGAAAGAAGATGGTGGAGGGAACATCGCGGAAGAAAAAGAGGAAGGTGAATCGTCGCCGGAAATTGCGGGGAAAAAAGAGAAAGGCGACGGTGATTGTCGCGATTTGAGGAACATAAAAGAGGAAGGTGAGGTCCCATGTGGTAGGTTTGTTTCTTCACAGCGGCGGCAGCAAACCCGGCCAACAGTTTCGCCGACGGGATGGGTACATTAGTTAGGTTTCTAAAGTATCCGATGGCAAAATTGAATATTTTTACAAAACTATGAGAGAAAATAGTAAACACACCGACGACAAATAGCGATTCAGAATAAGTAACCATGATAACCTATTTCAAAGCGTTGTGTCAAGTATAGGTGTCAATCGGGCGGGTTCGGGCTGGGTTCAATCGGGTTCGGGTTCAAACGGGTTGCGAGTTAGTCGGGTTGCGTGTTCATCGGGTTCGGGTTCATCGGGTTCGGGTTCAAACGGGTTGCGGGTTCATCGGGTTCGGATTCAATCGGGTTGTGGGCAAATCCGGTTGCGGGTTCATCGGGTTTTGGGTCGGGTGGGTTGCGGGTGGGTCAGGTTTCGGGTTGTTCGGGCCAGCGCATCGAGTAACTTAACTCATTACTCATTACCAACTTACACATTTTATTACGCTAATTTAAAATATTTTCTCAACTTTTTAACCAATTTATTTCTACCTCGTATATATATACTTTATTTTTTTTAAAAAACTAGTCAAAATGTTAAATCAATTTGTATGACTTGCAAACTTGTTATGTATTTAATGATAATTGGTAAAGTATTAAAGCTAATAGTAATGGTGATATCAATATTTGCAACCAAAAGACACCGTTAATTGTTTATTTGATATTTTAGTATTAATTCAGTAGTAATTGGATTAAAATATCTCGTTTAGTATAACCATGCAAATCTGGTATTTGGCGTGTGGTATTTGGCAAACGCATAGTGATAAAATGAGTTATTTCAAAATAACTCATTGCCCAAATAACTTTAGTAAACTGTTGCCAAACGGGTTATTTGTAAAATTGTTAGAATTATCCTAAAAATTGAACCAATAAAGATTAGCTATCAAATTTAGTAAAATTATTGTGACTTCAATCAAAACTTACTCAATAGCATATCCTATACACTTAGCTTTACCCTCAATCAACAATATTAAGTTAGTATATGTTGTTGATTGTATACCATAAACCATCAATACATTATACACTTACCACATAACCTATACCCTAACCATATGTCCTTGAGTTGTGATTTTGCTAGTATAGTTAATTTAAAAGTGAAATTCATACTTTGATTTTCAAAACATAGATAAAAAGTGATATTTGCTAATTGTTATACCCTAACCATATATCCTATACTTTACACCACATATCTTGTACCCTAACCACGTACCATAAACATAAATTAAAAAGGGATCTCCTGCCGTTAAAGACTTCAAATGACAACAAGTGAACATATGTTAATAAAAAACTTAGAACTGTCAAAACCATCAATATCTTATACCCTAACCATATACACCCTAAACCATATGTACCTTATACCTTATACCCTAACCATATACTTTATATCCTAAACAACGAACCGTCAAAGATTACTTATCAAGTTTAGTATAAATTGTTGTAACTAATGGTTAATTTATTTATTAGCCCATAAAAAATTACATACATATATACATATTAGCCTTCAAAGCATATAAGAATAATTTTAACTAGTCATACCCTCCATATAAAAGTTAAAGATTTATATTTCAAAAGCTAAAATTATGAAAAAACAAAAAATTGAAAACACCAAATTTGTTTCTTCTTTCTTTTCACAAAAATACTAAAATTTCTCTCCTTCTTTCTCCTTCCATACATTAGAAAACTCAATTTTCCCTCCTCTTTTTCTTCCATAAAATTGAAAGAACCAAATTACCATATTCTTTCCTACTACAAAAAGTTGAAAAGTCAAAAGTTTCCCTCCTTATTTCTCTTTCATAATCAAAAGAATCAAACTTTCTCATTTCTTTCTCTTCCCACATATCAAAACCACCAAAATTCTCACTTGTTTCTTTTCTAAAAAATTCAAAGAACCAAATTTCCCTCTTCTTTCTCTTCCCCAAAACTTTTATACACCAAAATTTTCCTCTTCTTTTAAAAACATCAAATTACCAAATACATTACTTTACTTTATTTATATTTAATTGATAATTTTATTGAATAGTTAGATTAACCAAAATTTTAATTTATATATTATATTAATATTGTCATGATCTCAAGTGACCTTCATGTTTCTATTTTTTTAATTTTCTTAAAATACGTAATATCAAGTGAGTTTCATATTTTTAAAATTTATTATACGAAATGAAAAAACAATTTTACTTAAGTTTAGAATGAAAAAGTTTCTTTTGAAAAACTATGTATCGTATATTTTTATAATTATTCAAGTGGATTAGATGAAATTCGGGTTGAGTCGGTTGGGTTACGGGTTAGTCGGGTTCGGGTTAATCGGGTTGCAGGTCAATCGGATTCGGATTAATCGGGTTGCGGGTTAGTCGGGTTGCGGGTCGGGCGGGTTACGGGTTGTTGACTTTTAGTCAATTCGAATTGCAGTCGGGTTGCGGATCGGGTTGATCGAGCGGATTAATCGGGTCGGACTATGTTTTGACACCTATAATGTCAGGTGTCAACTGTCAAGGGCAGAGCAAGCATTGCAGAGGCATACAATATATTTATAGATAGACCGTGGAGACTAGAGACAGGAAGTGGACCGAATTGATTTGCAGGGCTAGAGGAGACCTAGGAAGAAAAGAAGGGGCCGACCTTGTCTCAACCGACCATGGGCCTTATTAAACTATTTGTTCTCGTGAACTGGGCCTTTGGCCTTCCATTTTCATAGAGATAGACGTAAGGAATTGAAAAGGGATAAATTGGGCGGCTTGCTTTTAAAGGGACGAGGTCATGTGATTAGGGTGTATTAGTCACTTGATTAAGTTAAGTTTATACATAGATTATATTTAGGTTAATAACATTTTGTATCCTTCTATGATTGTAAATTAATTAACAAGTGTATCTATCTATTAAAATTTCGCACAAATATATCTTTCTAATATTAAAACATAACGAATTTACCCTATCGTCTAATTGTCTGTTAAATGACCGTTAAAGGGGTTGGGAAAAGACCCAATTGCCTCTCCTTTACTCCTATTCTCAGTTTCAGTTAATTATAAGAACATGAAAAGCTATGATCTCCTTCCCCCTACTCACCCGACAGAACTTTTGTCTTATTCATTGGTTAAAGGACTATGGAGCTATCAAAAGTCAACAATAAGGCTAAGGTTTGTTTTCATATTGGTGATTATGCAGGTGAAAGTTGGTGTGATGTTGCTGGCAATGCAGGCTGCTCATTTCTTATTGGGTCGTCCATGGCAATATGACCAAGGGGTTATTCATGATTGAAGGCACAATAGCTACCGGTTTAAGAAAGGAGATTGAATGTTTTTGTTGAATCCCTTGTCATCAGCTGAAGTTTGAGCAGATCAACAACATACGGAGCTGAACTGCGCCAAGGAGAAAGAAAATGCAAGTGGCTCAAAATCGGGAAACGGAGGTGGAACCCATCTTTTTGCTCGAAGGCACATGTGAACTACTCTGAGAATGGTTCTGTTTGGAATTCGTACATGGTGATGATTCTTGCTGGAACACTCAAGCTTTGAGTGAAAAGCTAGCTTCTTCAACTGGAAGGGGCTGATATAACTAGGGATGGCAATGGGTCGGGTTGGGGCGGGTTTTGTCAAACCCAAACCCAAATCCATGGGTTTATTCGCCAAAAAAATTCGGGGTAAAACCCGTTGGGTTTGAAAAACTCAAACCCAACCCAACCCGTTGGGTATCCGCGGGTTCATGGGTACCCGTGGGTTTTTGTGGTAAAAAATTTACAATAACAAGTTTCTTTCAAAATAAAAGTTCATCAATTTTCTCATACAAATTTAATCATACAACAAATAAAAAAATCTAGAGCATACAAACAAACCGGAAATGATCAATACAAATTGTTCAAAATTAAAGATAAACATCTATAAACAAAAGATTAATTGAACGCTTCTTCCTCGTCAACTAAGTTTCTTCACTCTCCACTTCATAATATCAACTTCATTCTAAACAATTAGAAAGAACAAATTATACATGTCTCCACAAACATAAAGAATATTAATTGTTTAAGGAAAATATATTATTTAGAATATTAAATATCGGGAAAGTAATTATATGTGTGTGGTCGGGTACCCATGGGTCGGATTTACCTACCCGGCCCAAAACTCGTCAACACAGATTTTACCCGCGTTGACCGGATTGGGTCGGGTGGGTACCCATGGGTTCGGGTTTTGTTGCCATCCCTTCATATAAGTCTCAAGAGCGACCCAAAGTCATTCTTGTCGAAGCTTAGAGGAGGGTACACCTCGAGAAAGCCAGAAGGGCCGAGGAGCATGAAATACCTGGGCAGAAGCAAAAAAATCCACTACCGTGGAATTGCCATCTAGCCCGTGGATTTGAGGCAAGGAGTTCATGGCCAGAGATCCCAAATCCATCATCGTGGAATCCAAGGGTAGACTAGGGAATTGCAACCGACGAGTTAAAATTACATTTTCGGTTTAGGGATTTCGTTTCTTTTTAGATTTTTGGTTATTTTATTTGCCCATGACTATATAAAGGGCTTAAGACATGAATTTTGAGCAGGCTTTGATGAATATTGATATTTCCTTTGTTCTTTGAGCTTTTGGTTTGAAATTTTCTGCTTTGTATCAATCAAGTTTTCCTCTTGATTGTGGTCGAACTTCTATCTTTCGTATTGTTAGAACCTTCTCCCATCTTTGTGTCGAGATTGCACTTTCAATTCCATCCTATCCCGAACAGAAAACTCTTAAAATATCTTTTCTTGTTCGAACTTGAAGCTCTGTGACTTTGATAACTATGGATACCGGATCTGTCTCGTATCAAGTGGTCACAGTTAGTGCCCACACTATGCTTGTTTTGGGCACTCGGTTGCGGGAAAAGCTCATGTTAAATGTATATTCATATATTTAGTTTTATTTTTTGCATTTTCAGGTTGTTGCTGAAAGTCCAATTTAGGTCAAGTTATTTACTCCTAATTAATTACTTATATTCATCCGACTAAATTATATTACTTATACAATGTGATCTTGCCCAAAATGACAAGGAAGGTATCATAATCTGATTTGCAATGTAAACGAATTTGTGTACAATATGGTTATCTGTCATGTATTTTTATTAATCATCTTTGTATTTTTTTTACATAAAAATATATGTATACTTTAGAAATATGATTAAATGTGCTCTTTTGTTAAATTTCTATCCACTTATAGGTTTACTGAAATGGAATTGATTAGTTACATTTTGTAGTGAATAGACTGAATTTGTGGATTGAGTTCAATTTATCACTTTTTCACCCTAGCTAGTAGGCGAATTGACAAAGATCAACCAAAACACACACTGGAAGGCTATCATTGTACGGTGCACGTACACCTGATTCTGTAGTTAAATTTATCTAATGTACGTCTGCACTATATGTGAATTGAATGCAATTTATGATCAGTAAAAACTTTGTAATTAAGCTGGTTATATATCATCAAATTAGAACAGATGAATCCTATATTATTTTACCACCATAAGAGCTTAGTACATATGTTTAATACTTAGGATGTGTAAAACGGCTAAGGAAGCTGGAGGTCTTCTTCTCCTTCTTAGTAGGAGTACTGGTCAGAGAAGTCTGATCAGAAGAATTATATTGTCATCATCCAAAACCACAACATCTATGTTGCAATAATATAGATCAGCCCTGTAGCGTTTTGATCTTCACGGCAATCTGCTCATGGCCACGATTGTGATGAACATGGTCGCCGTCGCCGTCGCCGTCGTTGTTGGTACTTGTCGTCCACTGATTGAGACATTTACTTATAATAGTAATTGTATGACCATTTCCAAGTTGGTAGAAAAGAAATCTCCCATGCACCCATCGATCCTTTTTTATATTTATATTCTGCGGTGGAATGCAAGGGACAGCGACCATGCCTTCATTCATGCATGCTATAAGAAAATTAGGTCCCGCCACTTTCCTTAATCATACACGTGCAGTCGTACGTAGAATGACTTACTGGGGAAGTAGTCTCCAGTCTCGACGTCGTTTTCTCCTGGCGGCTGTGGAGTGGAGCCTCATCGTGATTTGACGAACCCTCCATTGTCGATCATAAACCACCACTTTTCCAATCTTAAGCTCTTTGCTCCATTAGCCACACATAGAACGCAAATGGGCCGAGTCGAGTCGAGTCGAGTTTTACCCCAGTTTGAGTTCGGCTTGTTAACAAACGAGCCGAGCTCGTTCTACTAGTCACATCGAGTGCTGCAAATGAGTCGAGTCGAGTTTTACCCCAACTCGAGCTCGGCTCGTTAATAAACGAGTGGAGCTCGAGCTCGACCTAGCTTGTTTACTAAAATCTTGACTTTTATTTGGTACTTCATTTTGTATATCATGATACATATGATTTATTTTGTTAGCCAATCTCATATTATACTTTGTTGGTATCATATATCATTTAGTTAATAAATTTTAACTACTCCAAATCATGTTATTTTATAGTATCGAAGCAATCTATGATACATAATTTCTTTTTAAAGTAGAAAATAAGATATATTTGCTCACATATACTCAACATGTTAAACTTTATATATGGTGAGATATATAATTTAACAAACATATGAATTAAAATCATAAGATATAGATCGATTCATCCATAAGTCGGTAATCGAGATGGCTCTCTAGCCACATGTTGAGACATATCGTGAGCTCTAAACGAACCAACTCATGAGTTTAGCTCAACAAGCCACCGAGTCGAGCCAGCTCTCGAACTTCACAAGCAGAACAAAACTTAGCTCATGTTCGGCTCGTTTATTAACGAGTCAAGTTTCAAACGAAGTTTTCTTGTATCGAACGTCGAGTAGCTCGCGACTCATTTACAACCTTACGCTCCACACACCCATCCTAACAGCGTACATCACTGTACATCACGCAGTAGACCCCAATATACAAATGGAATATTGATGCCATTTTGCTATGTTCGATTCCGATTTTAAAATGGAAGTGATAGGGTTCAAGTTCAACGCAAAGAAATGAACCGGTCCCAGAAAATGACCAATGGGACCCAACGCGAAAAAGGATGAAAGGGATGGGTATGGGAAATAGAATATATTACATCACTATACTTACGTAACTGCTTACGTAACTAATTGCCAATACTTTTTTTTGCAATTTGTTCAATTTAAGCAGTCGATCGAGTTGTCACTTACTAGGTTAACTACTCACTTTTCAGGAAATCTGCCCCAAGATCTGAGGAGTGATAGACCCCTATTTTTGGAGGGTCGTTGGTTGTATCTGCCCCAAGTTCTATCTGCTTCTCGGAACACTAGTGTACCGGCACCATGAGGCACTATGAGATGCTCATAGTTTAGGGTCCAAGACTATTACAAAGAATGTTAGGCAAAATAGACTTGTATAGCTATAACTTTCACACTTGTGACAAATATATCCGTAATTATCCGAAAACACAAAATAGCCAATTCCGTCCATTTTGTTAATGACGTCAGTTGATGGTATGACTGGACTAACGGAAGGAGCTGAGTTGGTGATTGATTTACCTCGCCAACTGACGTGGATTATACAGAAAAAATTAAAATTAAAATAACGAAACCAGAAAGTGAGTTGGCGCCACTTTGTGTTTTCGGATAATCATGACTATATTTGTCACAAGTCTGAAAGTTATGGCTATATAAGTGTATTTTCCCACGAATGTTTTGCAGAAATGTCAGTATTATATATTCCGAACTAGAAGATCTGAATGGTTCACACAAACCATAAGATCTTACCAAATAAATATTTAATATAAAATAGATTTAATAATTAATTAAAACAAAAAAAATTCATTTACCAATAATAAAAAATAATAACTGACTATTATGATCATTGTTTTTAAAATCAACTACAAAAGTGGTGCACTAAATGAAAGCAAAGAAGGGGATGGTTGGATGGAGGGCGATCAAAATTGATCTTGCCAAAGCATACGACAGGATCCGGTGGAGCTTCGTGCAAGACTCCCTACAAGCAATAGGAGCCCCAACTCCTTTTATTGAGCTAACGATGCAGTGCATCTCTACAGCCAGAATGCATATACAATGGAACGGAGGCTTAACGCAAGAGTTTGCACCGACCAGGGGACTGCGACAGGGGTGCCCACTATCCCCCTACATCTTCACACTTTGTATGGAGAGATTGAGTCAGCCGATCAAGAAGGAGGTTGCAGATGGCAGGTGGAAGCTGATTAAGCTCTCTAACAGTGGCCGTATGTTACCTCACTTGTTTTTCGCATATGATCTTATCCTGTTCGGGGAAGCATCGGTACAGCAAGTAGAGATTATATTGAAGTGCTTTGAGGACTTCGGTGCCACATCGGGACAACAAATCAGCAAACTCAAGTCACGAGTTTTCTTCTCCGGCAATATTAGCACAAGCTCCGGCCACTCCATCAGCTCGACACTGGGTATCCCAGCTACCAATAATCTGGGGAGGTATTTGGGTGTCCCAGTCATACATGATAGAGTTCCAAAGAATAACTTCACAGCACTGATCGATAAAATGTATACGAGGCTCGCGGGATGGAAGGTTGCGAGTATGTCTCTAGCGGCTCGAATTACACTCGCTCAGTCAGTCCTTGCATCACTTCCAGCTTACACAATGCAAACAAATCTGTTTCCCGCTAGTGTTTGGGATTATATTGATAGAAAGATCAGAGGCTTTATTTGGGGAAGCTCGGAGGCTGGATACATCTCATTGATTGGGATACCGTGTGTCGGACAAAATAAGAAGGTGGGCTGGGGCTTCGAAGTGCAGCTCGTATGAATGAAGCCTTTATGCTTAAACTTTCCTGGAGGTTACTCACTGAGCTAAACAACTTATGGGTACGGGTTATTCGAGCCAAATATATGTCTCAATCTAAGGATGGGCTTGTACCGCGCAGAACATGGCGCATGTCAAATCTTTGGAGGGGGGTTTTACGAGTCCTACACCTGGTCCCCGAAGCGTTAATGTGGAATGTTGAAAGTGGCAGTCAAACCAGATTTTGGTTGGATCGGTGTCTTCCTCCCAGACAACTGGATTGAGAAGATTAAGCTAAATGGGGAATGGAATAACACTTACCTGAGAGTCTTCCTCCCAGACAACTGGATTGAGAAGATTAAGCTCCACCCGGTCTCAACTGGTATATTTCAGGACATACCACTTTGGCGGCTTACTCCAAATGGGAAGTTCAGCCTGAAATTAGCATACGAGATTATAGATGAGGAGGAGAGGCCAGGCGGATCATATCCGATTTGGAGAGCCGTTTGGAAAATCCCGGCAACCCAACGGAACCGATCATTCTTTTGGTTATTTGTGCATGATAGACTGCTGACGAATGGTAAGCGCTTTCGCAGGCACTTGAGCGCGACGAAGACTTGCCCTATATGCGATCATAAGATGGAAAGCGCGTTACATGTGGTTAGGGATTCCTCCCTGGCTCGTGCAGTGTGGGCTGAGATTCTGGGCAATGAATCCAACGAGAACTTTATTCAGCAGGACAGGACGAAGTGGGTGATGAATTACATTTCTGGTACGAGTAAGAACATCGATCCAACTCTTTTCGCAGGAGTCAGCTGGCTCCTCTGGAAGAGTAGGAATAAATTTGTCTTTGAGAAAGAGTTAAGCCCAGCAGAGGCATTAAGACACAGAGCGACCGAGCTGCTTCAACAAGTGAATCAAGCATCAAAACGAGATGTGTTGGCAGCGAAAAATTCCCCGATTAGGCGTAGACAGGAAGTCAGTTGGGAGCCACCAACAAGGGGATGGGTCGCTTTGAATATAGATGGATCGGTGATGAATGGCCAGGCCGCGGCAGGTGGTGTTCTAAGAGACGAGAGTGGTCGAATCCTGAAGGCTTTTGTAGGGAACATTGGTGAACCCTCCATCACTAGAGTTGAACTAGAAGGCATTGTGCATGGATTGCGGATGGCACGGAACGAGGGCTATAGGCGAGTGGTGATCCAGACTGACTCACAAACTGTTGTCGAACTGATCGAAGGAGCGGAAGAAAGGCATCCCCACTTCCTGGCGGTGCAATCAGCTCTTCGGCTTCTGGATAGGGATTGGCAGGTTCGACTGGTGCATGTGTTTCATGAAGGGAATTATGTAGCAGATTATCTTGTCTCTGTGGGACATCGGTTGCCGCTAGGTTTCCACTTCAGAGAAGAGCCGGATCCGCTCCTGAACTATTGAATGTATTTTTATGTAATGGGGGTGGAAACTTCTCGTATGGTTAATGGTTAACGGTTGGGGTGCCTGTAGCACTCCATTTTCACACCCAAAAAAATAAATCAACTACAGTTGCTATGGATTATCTTGCCTTGTGCTCAATTAATAACAAATATCTCGGTTTCCTTGTTCTCCATTAATTTATTTCAACTACCATTGTCCATTGATACTAAACTTTACTTTCGATGATCTTATATTCTTATAGATTGCTCCCTTCCCACCGTTGCTTGGGGGGCTGAGCTCCACTATTGAGAGTCTTTTGTATTTCTCTTCCTCCTTGTTATTCTTCTTCTTTAATTTGATGAAATGATATCACCTATATATAAAAAAATAAAACAACTACAAAGCATTTTCATATTATGAAACAAACGCAAAATACATTCGTAGTTCACACTTTTAAGTAAGTCTCTTTAAATGCGTTTCAATAAATAATCATTAGGAAAATGGTCGTCAATTCGACTTCAAAAATTGTTGTTAATGTAGTGCAAAGCTGAAAATATTCTCCGTAGGCTTGCAGTTGCAACCGGTAGAATCAAAATTGATTTTAAAAGCAAATAAGCTGACATGTATAAACCCAATTGATTAGGGCTTTATACCACTTCAAGGCGAGGAATTTGATCCTAATTATTATAGACATATATGATTTTTTTTTTATCCAGTGACAATATAATTCTCGACCCCTCTCCCGCCGTCTGTTATTGCGGGTACGGGTTACGGGTACCGCCACCGGTGTGGTTGGGTCGGGTACGGGGCCGCCGCCTACATTGAACATGGATACTAACAGTCACTTACAGTCACAGATGGAACATTCCATATTATATAATTTGTAGTTTGTCACCAAGAACAGAAATATTTCACATGGGCAAAACGAGTTTTGACTCCATCCCTCTTTACCCTATCGATTAAGTGGTTATTGTGTTTTGTAAATTTGGTGTGCAATCTACATGCCAAAATTGATTTTTTTGGCACTGTAATTAATTAATTTGGGATTTCAGGAATTAATTTTGTGATAAACTGTTTTCGGATAATTAATTAAATTTGATTTTGTGAAACGAAGTAACCTTTTAAAAGAAAGTATTGTTTTCGCAATAAAAGACGGTTGCATCCAGAACATTCTTCTTCTTTTTCTAAGTTTTCTAATGTGTTTCATAAATACAAAATTCTGTAAGTCAATGCTTTAGTTTTTGGTTGAAGAAACTTCTGAAGGTAGTTTTTCTAAACCTATTGGCATTTTTAATGGAATGAGTACTCTAAATAAAGTGATTGATTCACACATTCAATATGTTTTTTTCCTGCCAAATTTCTAACAAGTCCAATTCCCTCAGCTGCGGCGGCCACATTGATGAGGAGATGACTGAGCACAATGGCTAGGGTTTCCTATCTATGGGAGAAAAGAGAAGGGATAGTAAAATAATAATTGGGAAAATAACAACTCTGTGAGATCGACAAAGATAAATTTTTTTGTATGTCTGATATTAATTTTGTTTGATTTTACCTTTTTATCCTTAAAACAGTCTGTTGTAACTATCCTATCTCCCCCTCACATCCTCTTTAGTGTTGCAAGCCAATTGAAGGTGTGATATTTTGGAACAAATATTAAGACAATCTCCAACCCTGCAATAGTTTAGCGAGAATTGATATCTATCCCACAACCACATTACCAACTTTAATCATTATTTCATTCAATTATTTCAAAACATCTTCATTCCTACAATATATAGGTTAGCCATTTCAATTGATGAAACCTACAATATATTCATATCATTTATGTTTTTCTTAACACCACTTTTGAATTATTTTGTGTTGTAAATTCAATAAACACAAATACATAACATACACTAAAAAGAAATAAAGAAAAAATACTTTAAGAAATAAAATAAATAAAAAAAGTAGTACAAAATATTCAAAATAAAATAAAAATACTAGATTACTTGTTGTCTTCCTCCCATCCAGGGGTGGTCCTACCTTAGAGGAAGGTGTGTCGGGCCTGAAATTATTGTGAGGAATCCACATTTTTTCGATTCAAAAAATATGACCATGAGACCTCCGACAAAACTTCGATAATTGTAATCGACACACCTTTTTGCATTAAATTTTTGTTGTTGTCGTAATGACATAAAAATATGTAAATATAGGAGTTATCGGACTTTAATTTGAAATAGGTAGTTAATTATTTTATTATAAAAAAGTAAACAATTAATTGACTACTAAGTACGTAGTGAATATTCAGAGAGATAGCTATCACCTTAGACATAACCACGATAAATTGAATGAAAATTGAATCGATTAATAAGTTGGTTGAGTCAAGTAATTGGATAGTAAATTCCACATCATTTTTCCCTGTAGCTTCTTCAATATTTTTTTCCTTCATAAAGTTAATTTCCAACTTGCTTTCTAGTTTAGTTATTGTTTATCACGTTGACGCTTGTCGGCGTCCTGCCAGTGAGATCCTCATTTTCATTAAAACTTCCACGTTGGCGCTTGTGGCCACTCTTTCAGCTTCCCATCCTAGTTTTCCCATCTTAAATGAGTGTTGACTTTACATCTTGCAATTGCAAGCTACAAAATGAAAATTTTCATATATGAGCTTAATCTAGAATGATATTTGGTATCAGTTGAGTGACCAATTTATGAATAATTATTTAGTTGTTTACATAAAAAAGATTTGATTTGCAACCCAATGGACAAATGTAATTAAGAAATCTTCAGAATATGAAAATTCATCATGACTCACTATAAACACAATGAGATTGGTGAAATTTATGCACAACATATATAATTTTATATTTATGTTTAATTATTTTAATTTTAATTTTAAAATTATTTTTATGGGCCGACACACCTATCTCAAAATCCTGGGTCCGCCACTACTCCCCTCCAAATCAATTACAAATCTCTTCAACTAAGTGTTATTATCATTTGCAAATGCATAAGTACTTTGGTGAAAATTGAAGCCAAACTATGAAGGTCCTAGATTCGAATATGTTAACTAGTATCTAATAAAAGAAAACTAACCTATATACTGTTATAAAAAAATTGAAGTCAAATTTGTTTATTATAATTTGAATCAATAACTATACATCTTTGTATCATATTTTCCATGTTATCCAAATCAATGTAATTTGAACATGATTTAAATTTTTTAAGTTTATTAACAACTTAAAAATTCATAAGTGTCGAAACCGGGGTTCTCAATTAGTACAATATTGTTCGCTTTGGGCCAAGCCCTCACGATTTTACTCTTGGGTATCCTCCCCAAAAGGCCTCGTACTAATTGGGCTAGGTGGACACTTATAGACAAGGATTCCTTCCCTTATATCTCTGATGTGGTACTTGGATTGTCTTATAACAATAAGCACAAGGATTAAAGTCTAGCAATTCATGTCCACAATCATGGATAGAAAAAGAAAAAAGAAAGTAAAGTGCATAAAAATGAATTTTTGCTGTATACATGAAAAATGTGAGCGTATCGTCCCAAATGCGAGCGCAGCTAATTTAACCAATGAAAAAAGAGAACAGCGACCCCTAATAGATTGGAGGGAAGATACGATCAAATTTGTCCCACCTCCTGTATTTGGACACATGGCTGTGTGTTGATGTGACTTGAATCGGACTATCAGCCTCTACGATTGTAACCGTTTTCTTTGCCAGATTGGATTAGGTTTAGACTTTAGACCCACATGGAGAAGTACTATAAATATTTCTCATACTCTTCTGTAATCTGTAATCTCCTAGATATAGTAAAACTGGCTCTCTCTCGCCCGTGGACGGAGCTAACACACATCGTGTTAGTGAACCACGTAAATCGTGTGTCTGTGTTTTTTATTCTCGCTTTCGTATTCTTGCTCTGTCGATTCCAGCGATTTCCCGATCCGTAGCATCGCGTTTATAACACTGTGTTTCATTGGGTGGGTGCAACAGATGAGCTGTGCAAATACAGCCGCCTCACTCAAGATTATATCAGTTCGTTTATATATATATATATATATTTCCATTTGTATTGCATTGCATCTTAAAATTTGAAATTAGATTTGATTAAAGCAAGGTTAAGGAATTTCTCAGGTTATTAAATAATACACATCGTCGAGAGGGAAAACGTCTGGAGTACAACAAGGCAGTCAGTGTTTCATAATTGGCTGGGTACAACAGGTGAGCTGGGGAGCAGATCCGGTGAGTAACCTTGTGGTGAGTAACCATGAGTAACCCGTCCACATCAGCACGACATTAGCATCCTCTCTCTCCTGGAAAGCCTTTAATTTTCCCCTCTTTAATCTTTGACGGACGATTTCTCACTTATTATAAGTCAAAATTTAATTTTTTTGTACAGTTAGATCAGATTAATTGTGCTCTTCAAAATGATATCCACTTTAATATATTTTTCGAACAAAAAAAATTGAACCATTTTTTACCAGTCTATACCATATGGTATTGACTAGTATTGAAATAAAAGCATACCTATGGTTTGAAAAAAGTACCATGGTGGTATGAACAAACCAAGACTGTAGGATGGTTGAATACATGATAGTAAAAATATATTAATTGTCATTTACGACTTTTAACATTGTATACCACAAGATACCACCCCGTACCAGGGTGGTATTGTATGGTATTATGTGGTATTTTTTGATCCTGTAATTTGTTCACCCACAAATTTGTAGATTCAATAGATCATGATGAACTCGTCACTTCTGTGCAAACATTTTCAAAAACGAATTAAAAACGAAGAAGATACCATACAATACCACCCCGTACCAGGTTGGTATTGTATGGTATTGTGTGGTATTTTTTTGGTCTTGTAATTTGTTCACCCAGAAAATTGTAGATCCAATATATCATGATGAACTCGTCTCTTCTTTACAAACGTTTTCAAAAACGAATTAAAAATGAAGAAAATAACATATGGTATGTAGTTGGTACGAAGAGGCCAGAATTTTTTGTTCTGAAAAAAATATTGAAAATTGATC